AGCAAATTAAGTTTTAAAAGATTGCCTGCAATGTGCTGGACTTGACTTAAGATTTCAGGCAACCCGGTTTTCAAAACTCCAGGTAGATATATATATATATCATATACACAAAAGTTCTTATTCGTTACTCCGGTAAATATTTATTCTACTTAGTCAGTTCATAGTGCACAGCTTTTCGCAACTATAAACTTTCTTGTAACCGATAAAGAATAGAATAAATACACAAACATTTTCTTCTGTAGATTCGTTGTGCTCAGAACAATCGCAAAACTGAGAACGACTGCAAATGTCACCATGGTTACAAAGGTCAACGATGCCTAACACGTAAGTTAATAACAGATTGCGACGTAACTATCTATTTACCTTTATGTATCAGCGATAAACAACGAAAAAAAAGTACAGGCTTTCAATCGTTTGGGTTAGGAAAGGATAAAAACAAAGATTTCTAAACATGTAACTCCTTTAATTCAACAAGATCCTGGACAATATTTAGTTATGACGGATCCACACGCAGCCATGGAAAGAGGTTCGGGGAAGGGGTCAGTTGAACCCCTTGGGTTCTTGCTATTTCGAAATATTCAAGGGAAACATCTCAAACAAATAGACTGCAGTGAGGTCTTTAAGATGATATAAATGTTATGGGACTTGGTGTTGTTGGGAACAAGTGAAAATGGTCAGTCACCATATTGGATCTTGCAGAAAACTCAGATTTCTGCCAATAGTTTTCATGTTTCACATCCTTTACAAAAATTAAAGTAAATGCACTTCCGTCTAAAACTGGCTAGACCTTACGTCACTTATGACGTCATATCTCGTAGCCATAACAAACAATTGTCGGATAGTTTTCCAAGTTAGATGCTCTTGCTTAAGTTCAGAGAATATTCAATTCCGCCAACAGAATCTTCACCGCTCACATTTTCCTATACTTGCAGCGAGACTTGGATTTGTTGCTTCAAATCCTGGACTTTCTTGTAAACACATCCGAGACGCTGGAGATTCAATAGGAGACGGGGAGTACTGGATCGACCCTGAGAATAACAGAAACCCTTTTAAAGTCTACTGTGATATGACAACTGATGGAGGTTATTTTTTTATATTTACATCTATTTTAATTAATGAATTGAAAACTAGTGCATTTATTGTATATCTTCATCAAAATTATGCCAGTATTTCAATAAGTAATATATGCATAAAAGTTTAGTCCACCAGGTGGTTCTTAGTCTCTAAGACTGATCTTCACTGGCTTCCTGTTGAGGAGAGAATTGTTTTTAAAATAAATTTAATAACTTTTAAAACGTTGAATGGCTCCGGTCCCCGTTATCTTCAAGATATTTTAAAATTTTCAATCAAGGACATTACGGTCATCAAGGGATCATTTACGCCTTGAAGAACCAAATTTTAACATGAAAACTTATGGCCAGCGAGCGTTTTCCGTTGCTGCCCCCCGACTATGGAACAAGCTCCCCTTTGAAATTCGAGCTTGTTCTGATGTTAATATTTTAAATCTAAGTTGAAAACGTTTCTTTTTAAAAAGGTATATGACATTTAGTTTCATCATATTTGTTTTTGTTTTCTTTACTGTATGCTATAAATTTCCCAATATGTACAGTAGGGTTATATGTAAGCTTGTGATTAACGATATTCTTATGTCCTTTTTTACATTGTTAAGCGCTTAGAACAGCGATGTATAAGCGCTATATAAATTCCATTATTATTATTATTATTATTATTATTATTATTATTATTATTAGCATATTTCTGATTGAATTGGAAATTGAGAATATTGCTTCTTGAGGAAAGGGAACTGTATAAAGAACTCTCTTAGTAGCAGGAGAAAAACCTTACTAAAGAAGGGCAAGAACTAACAAGGTAACAAAAGCAGTGAACGTAAAACGACACCTGCCCCGGGAAAAAGAACTAGGGCCACATTGGTGGAGGACGAAAAATCTCACTTTTGCGCAGCCCTCGCTCCTCTTGCATTATTTTAGCCATACGACTTAAGCTGCTTTTCTCGATCGATCCTTTTTTAAAATAGCGGAGAGGGGATGTCTGATAAAATATTAGACGATTTTAACGGCTTGTTCTTCGCTCGTGTCTTACTTAGGAGGCTGGCTTCTTGTGGCTAATTTTTGGCTAGGGAGCGCCACTCCTCCATCTGCTTGGACCACTGAGACGGCATACAGCGGAATCAGGAATTATCAAAACAACCAAATGGGTATCACTACCAGCGCCATGACCCCGCTTAGAGCACGCTTAAACTTCATTCAAATGAGGTTCCATTGAAGTAAAGAACAAGGGCGTACTTTTCACGTGATCACGGCCGCCAACAGCACTGGTGAAGCCGTTGTCCAGTACTTCAGTGGTCAGTCTGACACACTTCCTGCCTCATGTGGCTCGTTCATTACTATGGAGGATGACAATTCTGAGTTAGCTATTAAGTGCAGCAAATGGGGAAACGATGGATCCCATTACGTTGGAAAATGGGGTCATCACAGAAAACAGGGTGAATTCAGGATGTACGATCACACCGCGTTTATTGCAAACTTACATTACTGGATAATCTTCAATAGAATGGGGAAATGCGATGAAGGAGCTGACTGAAGCTTTATCAAAGGGCGATTTTTCGGAAAATTTTTGTCCGCTGATGTGGTTCTCATCCACCACACTATGAGTACCAGCGCAAACTTCGAATAATTTTTATTACTATGGAACGCCATTGATTAGCATTTAGAATAAAGCCAGTTTTAGCGTTAATTTCAACTAGGAACCATATGCTTTCCTTTGCTTAAGTTTGCTCGCGCATAGGTTTTCAGATGTGCACACTGGACTGCTGTTGTTTAACAATACTTGCGTTCAATCTTGGAGATAAGCGGGACCATTAAGACCAAATGAGATATTTGCCTTAAGATGTACCAGACCCTTTTGACTGTGGGGCAGGCAAGCTCGTAGCTAGGCTGGAACTCACCGCGATACGTTCAAGCGTCTCATGTGTAGTGTTCTAAAGTCAAACCTCGCTTTACGGACACCCGCTTAATACGTACACCTCGTTATTACGGACAGTTTTCCTATTCCCTGGGGAAAGAAGGCCCTCACAGTTTGTCTAAATTCAACCCGCTTAAAACGGACGGATAGTTTCTGTGGTCCCCCCAGTGTCCATATTAACGGGGTTGACAGAATTTGTTTGGTAGGCTTTCGTTTACTATCAATGCAAGTGAAAACATTTGCAAGAATAAATCAAACAGTGGCGGATCATGGAAGAGAGGATCCACCACAGAGCAACACTGTACCCTCTTGCGCAGACGTTCTGAAGGTGTCGTCACGCTTTTCTTCCTCACGGTCGACGTTCGTTAGGGACGATTGCATGACGAGCCAAAAGTGCGTCTGCGTGGGAGGCTACAAAGCGGAGGCTTGTCGAGATATTTATCGAGTAACGGTTGGATACTAGTCTCGGCCCTATTTTGTTTTGTTTTGGTTTGTTTTTTTGCTTTCCTTTTTTCATGGAGGATGATTAACACACGGTGGCAAAATCCTCATCGAGAATTCGACTCCAGTAGATTTCACCTTCATTTAACAAATTGAGATGCTTCGAATAATGGCAAAAATTCTGTCGATGTAGTGTCATCTTTAATATTCCTTGTCTCCATAGACTGAAACGCTTATGTTCTTGCTGCTATTTAACACATGTTAACTTTATTTACAAACATTAAGACGCATAAAATTAACTATCAACAATAGAATGGATACAAAATTCTATAATCTTATTGGCTATGAGCAGTCTTGCTAATATCAATATTAACAGGTCTATATAATAGGACAGAACACTTCAGTCTGGTTTTCACTAGCGATGGAGTCGGCGCCTATGCCCGAGTGAAAGTAATAAAAAAAAAGAATCGCAAGAGGAGTCATAAGGGCGACAAAATCGGATTTGGAAGAATCAAAACATTTCCATTATCTCCCGACTCCTCTGCTGACGATCTAGTGAAAACAAGATTCCCACGGGAAAGGTTTGAGACACCAACATGGCAGACGCAGTGTCACGTGAAAAGGCTCTATAAGTCGGAGTCGGATTGTGATTGGATTAGTTCTTCCGCTTCTGCTTTCGACTTTCGACAACCAAGTTAGTCTTTGGCGGAATCGGAAAGCTGCTTTCACTAGATCATAATACTCTACGCCATGAGAGAATAATGGAACAAAGAGGGAAACACTCAGTCTAGCTGAAGGGACTATTTGTAAAATTCACCAGGTTTATTTTGAGACCAATTAAAGGCTTGAAATTGATCATAAGTTGGTTTCCGTAGAGATTCGCAAAAGTTTATTCAGTTTTGTCAAGAGAGAATATAATTCAACAGTCGTCATTACAAAATTCTGCTTTTGACAACTTTATTTCCTTTCCTAGGCCAGGTGCACATAACAGTCATAACCCTCCTGCTTGGACTTTGCACCTATAAATAATATTGAGGTATAAAAAGAAATTGCTTCCACGCTCATAAGTTTTCCTGTATACTGATAATTTTCTACTGGTGACGAAGCAAAATATTTAATTCCCAAATTGCTTGCTCCCATTGAGCATTGCTGAGTATCGAGCCCAAATTAAGAAAAACTGTTCGTTTTTTTTTATTTTAGTTTTTAGTTTCCCAAACCACGTGAAGCGGTTACTATTTAATAGATTTGTGTAGTATCTTAGATCAACCGATGTGAAATACGCATAGCCGGCCCAATATTGATATATTTAAATATTATCTACTAGCCTTGTAACGAATATATGCTGTACATTTACCTTTCCATGAAAGTTCCAAAAGTCAAGTTTATCATCATCATCATCATCATCATCATCATCATCTTATTTAAAAACACGGTAAATACACCGGGCATTAACAATTTAATATAAGGCTACAACTTAATACGAAACTATGTATACAGATTAATCTTCTATCATTTAAAATATTGCTAACTATTAACGGAAAGTAAACTAAATTAAAGCCTGTTTTACTTGAATGCCGTGTCGTGATTAATTAGTCAGAGATGTTGCTTGCCTAGCAGCTGAGGGTAGACTGTTTCAGAGGATTGCACCACTATAGGCAAACTATTTTTGTAATGGTTAGTACGTGGCAATGGTATTGCAAGCTTATTATCAGAATCGGGCAAATTGTAAGAAGTAATCACATCACTCCGCTGAATGAATTTCGAGGACAAATAATTCGGTGCGAGGCCGTTTCAGGACTTATAGACCATCTCAGCCTTTAGTTTTTGACGTCGAGTTTCTAAATTGTCCCAGCCTAATTCTTTAAATAGTTGGTTGGCTTCAGCATCATAACTAGAATAGGTAAGGACGCAGACAGCACGATGTTGAAGTCTCTGTAATTTGTCAGATAATATTTTGGCACAGTTACCCCAAACAACACTGCATTTATAATAAATGCCATAAGAACGCAACATCAAATAAACCTATCCTGCTTGCAAGGTCGTTCCAGAAAAGACATAATAATCAGAAATCAAAGTATGCAAGTTCTAAAAACCTTCAAGGTCCATATGATCATAACGACTTTCTCCTCCAAAAATTGTGAAAATTTTACATCTTGCGGCATGAGCTGTGGATCATGCATGACGTCATCCGTCAAATGATGGAAAGCTCGAGTCACTGCGAACTCATTCCCAGGGTTCTCGCGTTGAAGCCGCCGGAAAGTTTCTAATTTTCATGAATCAAGAGTAGGAGAGCAATGTAAAGTGGCAACAACGCCTGAACAAATTCCAGCCACTCGTGCTTTCCGTCGTCAAGCCAAGGCTAAACGATCAAACACGTTCGTCCAACATCGCTTTGGAAGAGTGCGCTTTACCGTTTAACCGTTGCCTTCTCCTCAGACGCTTCGTTTTTCGCACAGAGGCGAGTGCGAAACGCGAGGGACACATGAATGACTGGTGACGAAACGCAAGGGAACATGGGAAAGACAAAAATGAGAGACGAAGTCCGTTTTCTCCTTTCCGCCTTTCTTTGCTGCCTTTGCGTATCTCCACAGAGATACGTCTTGGTAGAATTGCTTTCGACATTTAATTTAGATCAAACATTTTCATTCAAAATTTTACATCACGAACAAATGTTTGATCCTTTAGCCACCTCATGTTGTCTTGCATAATACTGACACAATTTTTGATCATGTAGTCGGAAATAACAGAAAGAAATAATTTTGATGTCACACATGATCCAAACTAGCAGCTAACAGAATTTTTTTCGCGTTAAGGAGTGACTTCGTTTCATTCAGTAAAATGAATAACATAGTTATTCGAGGAGACTGGTTATGAAAGGCGGCAAACATCAAAGCAGAGTCAAAACAACGGTGCTTTAGTTGATGTTTTTGTGTTGTTGTTTTTTTTTCTGGAGTTCCCTGACGGCGCACTATCCTTTGTTTGTTTGTTTGTTTTATAAACCGTCACGGAAAATATAGGATAGGACTGAAATAAAAAGTTAATTGTGCACAGTGAAAGGGGTTATGTAACGAGGATATTGCTGTTTAATAGTTATTGTAGTGGAACGGTTATGAAACTCGTTAGACTCCTTCGTTATACTTTTTTGTTAGCTTTTTTGGACCCGACAGTGCTCAACTTTCGATAGCATTTCTATCATTTTGAACTTATTGACCAATAGAAACATGGCATTAATTTATTTAGTTACAATTTGTGAACAAAAGGATTGTGCGCGGTCAGGGAGCTTCCAACATAAACTACAGCACCGTTGTTTTACATCTTTGATGTTTGCCGGCTTTCATAACCGGTCTCCTCTACTAACTATGGTGGTTTGAAGTCAACACAACAACATATAACAGAGCAGTCTACCGGGCTTCATAACCATTCCACTCTATTAACTGATGTTTTTAACGCACAAAAATCTTCCAAAAGGTTTCATTAGGTGGTAGATATGGACCCAGTTTAAAGTCATCACATTCCCATCTGGTAAAAGTGACCCAATGATATGCACTTCTAGTAAATGCAGGGTGATCATACATTTCCCTCATGCCTTCATGCCCCCATTTACCCACATGGTAATTGCCGTTCTCATTCCCCCAGTCGGCACATCGGTTTGGGATCACTCATCGTTTCTGGGCAACGCATCGTAAAGTACTCGATAAAAATCGTCTCGATTTCATGGCCTCTCGATTACGTTTGCGGCAGTCCAATCGAAAACGTGAAATCGAGACTCGTTGCCACCTGTCTCGATGACTCGTTTCAGAAACGAGACACGTTCTCGAAAACGTAGGGCAAAAAACGAGACTCGATTTTTCTCTAAAACGTAGGCCCCAAAACGAGACTCGATTTTTCGTTTTCGTAGGGACTCGTTCAAAAACTACAAAAGGTATTTGCCTGGAGAAGGTTAAGTCCAAAAAAATCAGAAAAATATCCCCTCAAAAAAATAGCCATGCGCTGGCTTCAAAATATCAGAGAAGGGAAATAATGTGATGCGGTTTTTCACTTTTAAGGGCAATGGCAACGAACGGATTGAGCGTAGATAATTTCTGGGGCCGTCTGGGGTAAATACTTTATTTATAAATGGGTAAGCCGAAAATCAAATGGTTCGCACCATTCCGCTTGGGAATCGTCAG